AGGGGACACTGCGTAGCCAGCCAGATTAGCTGAATCCACCCTGGTGATCAATGGGGTGACAGATGTTGCAGCCAGATCACCATCCTATCTTATTTATATTGAATCAGTATTTATGAAGTCTATTTTTATCAAAGAATTTGAAAGTTGTCAGATTTATTGGCATGAAGTTCTCTATAACATTCTCTGATTGTCCTTTGATGTCTATGAGATCTGTAGTATAGACTTTCTTTCATTTTTGACAGTGGTAATTGGACTACCCTCTTGTTCTTCAGTAACCTATGTAGGTGCCTATCAATTTTGTTGATCTTTTTTTTTTTAGCTTTTTTTTTTTTCTGGTACCGGGAATCAAACTCACGACTTTGCGCTTGCCAGGCAGGCGCTTTGCTGCTGAGCTAAATCCCCAGCCCCTTTGTTGATCTTTTTAAAGAACCAACTTTTTGACTTCTTCACTTTTTTTCTTTTGGTTGTTTTCTGTTCTATTAATTTGTACCCTTCATTATTTCCTCTCTTCTATGTACTTTGCTGAGTTCTGGTATGTTTTCATGAAGATTATTCCCATTTACTTATATGTCTGATGCCAGGTGTGGTGCTGCATACCTATAATCCCAGCACTCAGCAGGCTGGGGCAGGAGGATTGCTGTGAGTTCGGGCCAGCCTGGGCTACATAGCAAGTTCAAGGCCAGTCTGGACTACGTAGTAAGACCCTGTCTCAAAAACAAAAAACAAAGGCTGGGGATTTAGCTCAGTGGCACAGCGCCTGCCTGGCAAGTGCAAGGTCATGAGTTCGATTCCCGGTACCAGAGAAAAACCAAAAAAAAAGAAAAAACAAAAAACAAAAAGCAAGCAAACAACCCCCCACCCCAAGCAAAACAACAACAAAAACCAAACTTCAGTGTCTGGCCATGAACAAACTTGGCTTGATTCAAATAACAAATGCTGTTTTTCCTAAGTGGGCAGCAGCAGAATTCTTGGTTCAGTTTATGCAGCCTTACAGGATAGTTAGACTCTACCTGATGCACACATAGATCAGCAGTTAGCTGGTATTTTGAATGGACTTTTAAGTGAAGGATTTGGAACTCCCCTTGCATGGCTTGTTCCTTTCTAAGATTTGCTCTTTCATTTTACAGTTGCAGCTGTGCTGCTTCTTGAAGTTAGAAAGGCTACAAGTTTTCTACCTGACTTTTAGTTACCTTCAGCTAGGTTCTGCCCTCAAACGAAATCTATAGACAGAGGAAAACTCACCAGTGCTTTTTCCCCTTCTAAGTCTAGATTTGACTCTTCTCTAGTGTAGAACTACTTTTTTTCAGTAAAATGTTCCAATGCCTTTAGGCAGGTGTTTCTGTATTTTGTCCGGAGTTTGTACTTGTTATTTGTAGGGGATTCAGCTGAGAGAGGAGCCGGTCCTCTCTTAGCAGGGGCTGGAAGCATCAGCTTGCTCATTTTTTACTCCACTCCTCTCCCTGTCTCCAACGGTTCTCTTTGTAAGTGTTAATTTGGCCAAATTTCTAGTGCCAAGAGCAAAATAGAAGAGCTTATGTAACACACAAACTGGATTAGCTGGCCTCTGAATATCGAAGTTCACTATGTCAATATTCTTTCAGCAGTAAAGCTCCTGGTTCATTGTGCTGTGGGAGTCCACATCTAATTGGGACTAGGCTAACTCAAGGCAAAATTGGAAAGGCCATTTAATTTGTCTTTTGGCGCTTACTCTTCAGCATCTCTCCCTGTGCTCTTTGACGTGTTTTTTTGGCTGAAAGGAAATGTTCCCTGATCTCTAGACTTTCTCCCCTTGTAGCAGATACCAGAGCTCCATCTCTCCTTACTTCTGGGGCTGTTGTCCCTTTGCTCAGCTGGGGTTGGTAAAGGAACTGAAGTCTAGTTCCGCCGCAGTGGCAATGTGTCCATGTGCTCTCTTTCACAAGGTAATTCTCCATTTGCTATCGATCACCCTGAAACCATAGACTAAATCATGGAGTGTAAAACAATCCAGTTCCTTCATCTTTCCTCTTTGGAAAGTAAATTTCAGAGAGAGTGCATGACTTGTCTGGGGAAATGCTTTAGTGAAATTGGGGTTAAAATTTCAATTCCTGATTGTGAGTGGACTCAGGAATGGCTTCAATTATTGAATCCAGGGGCAGGGTTTGGAAGGTGACAGGATTGTAGTTTTCGGCACGGCGAGCTTCACTCCTAGAGGGTGACAGAGTAGAGAGTGGTAGTATGGGTAGCTAGTGGGCTAACGGTGTCAATACTGCATGATGAGAACTGATTAGAAGAAGGACCTCTTACCTGGAAGAGAGAAAACTGAGTGGGGACACCATGGAAGGCCTGAGAGAGAACTCAGACGGAGTCTGTGTAACCCTGTATAGCAGAACCATGACAAACGGCTGAATATATAGCCAACTTCAGCTTTGGACAAGGGAAGATTTGCTAACAATTATAGATATCTACAAATGGAAAGGCTGGTGGCTGAGTTCTCTTGCAGCAGCTGATGGTAAATTCTGTACTACGAGAAGCTTTTGGATAAGGCTCAGCAGAGACAACTTGGAAGACATTCCTTTAGTACATATGAGTTTGGAATAGATTCCCTTCTAGTTGTTTAAAATTGTTGGGTTCTCAGTTTTGATGATGGAAGACTTTTCTATTCCAATCAACATCACAGGCATAAATATGGTACTTATCTATCCTCTAGAGGGATACATCTTAAAACACCACTCTCTTTGCCCCAACCTGATACACATGGGATTTGGTATTGACTGATTAGGATGGTGTGGCCTAGTGTGTTGTACTGTGATGTGGTGAGGGATGATGTGATGTGGGATGTGTGTCATGATGTAATATGCTATGGTACGGTGTGATGTAATATGGTATACTCTACATGTGGTATGGCATGGTATGGTATGGTACGGTATGATACAACTTGATGGACTATGTTATTGGTTTTTGTGGTGTGTTGTGCTGTTGTTAAGGTGTGGCATATTGTGATATGCAAGAAATCAGGGCCACAGTCTTTTAACAGCTGTGTAACTCCATTGGGTTAGTGACCACGTGGTATCGGAGTAGCTTTGGTTGCTATGATGGAACACCACCTTAGTGATTTCCTGGGCAATGTTGGTTGCACCTCTTATAAGAAAGCAAGTCTTGTGTGTCACCCGGTAGCTGGTTGGCAGAATAATTTGGCAGCCATAGTATTATATGTCATAACAAAGTGTACAAACACAGGGCCCACGCAGCACCTACCTTTCACCCACCCATCCCACCATCCCATCAACAATAAGGAAGAGGCAGGCATCAAACTGAGTATAAATCTTACCTATTATTTTCTAGTTTTAAAAGCAATGAGTATTTTGAAGTTTCGTCTATAAAACAAATCATAACTCACATGCTAGTTCTGACAGAAGACAAGTGTGGTCTCAAAATATACCTTAGGATGCTAAGGTTTGTGGATTATGAGGCTGATCAGCCTCAAATACTGCACCAATGTTCTCCAGGAACTTCCACAAGGGGCTAAACTTTGCCAAGGATTTAGGCTCTGGAGCTATAATAAATTGTGCTGTTTGCATATTTTTATAATACAGAGTAGCTTCTTATATAACACATTCAGGAACTCTGGGTATAGGACAGGTTTACTCCTGACTTCTTGGTCTTAGTTCCCTTTTCCTCTAATAGAGCCATTCTTCATGAAAACAAGTCACTGAGCATTATTAATTCTGTGATTAGTTGCTTTGGAAAACCAGAATTTCGTTTTGGTTTGATGCGTAGTTGTTAAAGAACTCTAAATGTTTCATGGGCAAATCTACCAAGTTTTTTGAATAATTCCCTTTGAGGGAGAACAGTTGTTAGGAAAAAGACACTGATATCTGTGATGGAAGACCATGGCACAGAATGTCTGTGTGATTTATGGGAAGGTGCTGAGATTGGGAGGGACAGGAGAGGAAAGAGGGGGGAAGTAGAGAGAAGGGAAATACAAAGAGAGGACAAAAGGAGGAAAAAGTAGGGAGGGGGCAGAGAGACAAAGAAACCTTGATTTAACTTCTTTTTTTGTTGTTTGAGTTTTGGTTTTTTGAGACGGGGCCTCACTTTGTAGTTTGGGCCTGCCTTGGACTGACTATGTAGCCCAGGCTGGCCTCAAAATGACAACAATCCTGCCTCAAACTTCTGAGTGCTGGGATTATAGGCCTGTGCCACCATACCTGGCTAGATTTAATTTAACACTGTGTTTGTCTGTCCTCTTTGTTTCCATTGCTTTCACCAAATTCAGATAAGAGGAGTTATACTCAACTCATAAGTAGTAATAGGCTTCCTAGTGGTCCTTCTGTCTCTCCCTTTGCCTCCCTCAAGCCCAAGAGAATGGTGATGTCCAATCACAGTGCTGGTAAAGTCTATTCCCTGCCTCCATTTCTCATCTTTGACCATTCAAGAGCCAAATATGATTAGCATAATCATCAGCATTAAGAAGCAGAGAGTAAGAGGTAATATAACCTCTGATTGCCTTGGTACCTATAGCTATGGCTCCTGGTGGACACCCACAACTCTCCACATCTTTTTCTGTAGGGATCTGATATTCTGCCAGTGGTTGGACATGGTGAGATGCTGCCTCTAAGTAAGAGAGCTGAATAGGAAGTGACAGTTGCTTTTGTTTGTTTCTTCCTGGTTGTCCTAAAGACCTTTAAGCAGGGGCTGAGGATTTAGCTCAGCGGCAAAGCCCCTGCCTGGCAAGCGCAAGGTCGTAAGTTCAATTCCTGGTACCAGAAGAAAATCAAACAAACAAACAAACAAAAAGACCTTTAAGCAGATATGTGCTCTGCATCACCATTTAGGGTTGAAATTTCATAGTTACATTTATAACTAAAATGAAAGTATGTTTCCTGATGTAAGGACTAGCTAGATGCTCTTCCAGAAACATTTAGAGTAACCCAACTATTGTCTACATGTTTGTAGACAGATTTATCATCATGGTTTTCCTAATGGTGTTTGCTGTGTTAGAATACGTGCTGCTCAAAATGCCCCAGCGGAGCCATGTCTTCCTCCTGTGGCTGGTTCCTTCTTCCAACCCACCCACCCCTCACATCACAGAACACTTCTGCTCCGCTGACTGCTTGATTTCTGTGAAGGTGGCCTGGGCCTTTTCTTTTATGGTATCCAAGTCCATGTTTTGGAGATTCTGTAACTGCCCAAGAATAGAATCCTTATCTTCTTCCTCTTCTTGATCTTCATCTACCATTTTCCGAAGATCTTCAGGTAAATCCACATCATCTCCAGCCATCTGGATTTGAGTCTCATCCATTTCACTCTATGAGGAAAATAAATACACACTAAATAAAGTAGAAAAGCAGCAGGGAAATGCAAATCTGCTGAGAATGAATAAGCTAATGACATGTTTGACTGCCACACATCATATGCTTGTCCTGCTGGCAGTCAGTGAGGCCAGAGTTCTGGGTTTGGTGGTCCCTCCTTTGCTGCACCTCAGGCTGACCAGACCCTTCTAACCTGGTAGTCAACTCTAGTCAAATGGACAAATGACATTAGCATCACCTAGGAGCCTCTTAGAAGTAAATTCTCTAGCCCACCTCAGACCTACAGGATCAGAAATGGGTGCTGGCCCAACAAGGCCCAGGTGTTAAGAAGCCCTCTCTGCACACTGAATCTGGGACATTCACCCTCCCTCTCCCGCAGGGCAGCTTTGCAAGTTTTGCAGAGCCTGCTGGCCCCATGCTGGCTGACCCCAGGGTCCTGACTGAGCCCCTCAAGGGAGTGGGGTTTGGGTTGGCAGTAGCCAGACAGGGCTTCATGATTTTATTCATCACGCGTTAGTGGCAAGTTCTGCTTAACCATTGCCCTTTCTCTTTCTTCTGTGAGACCTTTGGGGACCCAGCATCCTGTTAAATCCAAACTTACCCAATCAGTGCCTGGAACTGGGCCTGGCACACAGAACGTGTGTGTTAAGGGAAGCATGGGGACCAAGGCTCCAGTTGACACATAGCGCTGTGGCGCCAGCACCAGAGTGCCCAATACTTTCATTTTGTGGTTCCAGCCTGACCACCCCCGGTTTCCTAGTACATGCTGCCTGGCCTCTGGGATTCCTTTGTCATTAGACTACGGCGCCCACTGTTTCCTAGTGAGAGAACAACATAAGGAAATACATCCCACGGAAAGGGCTGCAGTAGGTAACATTCCCAGACAGCGGCTCGCAGACAACTTTTGGAGAAGAGGTTGTAATAGGAGGTGAACGGGGTTTCAGGAGTACAGAAGATTAAAGGACGTCTGAAAAGATAATGACAGGAAAAACCTACATTAGGGCCCATCTCTACAGGTTGTGATCAGCTGTGCATTTATTGCCAAAGCTCTTATAATCACGTAGAGATAAAACGATCATCTTAATCAGACCATTGATTTGATTTGTGAAAGACTGCAGCACTTGTTAAGTTCCCAGATGGACCAAAAGCCAACACTCAGAGAAGAGCAGAATGCCTCTTGCCTGGGTGAGTAGAAATGACCAGAAAGAAACATTAGCTGTTTCTAGGTCGGAGCGGCAGCCTCCATCTGTAAAGCGGGCTGGAGGGACCCGACAGCGAGATCTTTTGCACTTGGTGGCTCCTTATTTTTCTAGCTGATGGTTGGAAAGGTAGAGCCTGCCAGCCTTGCCCCGGCATGCTCCTTTATTAGGTTCCCCAGCAGAAGGAGCTGGGAGGCAGATTTCTGGTGAAGAGAAGATAAAGGTCCTAGGGGTGACAATCCTTGCAGGGGCCATCCCTGAAGACCTCAGGGGCTGAGTGTATTTTCTCTCTGAACTTGGCTGAGGCCTTGGACCCTCTAAGTACTTAACGGATTAATTAGTTCCTCGTCCAACTGTTGTGGGATTAATTAGTTAGTTAATCTCCAGGGGCCCCCAGCCAATCTTGCATTTCTATTTATTTTTTATTTATCCACCCTAGTGGCTGCTTTCCTAGCTGATCATCCCGTGGGCGTTTCTGCAGGAGGGGTGGGAAAAGAAGACTGAGTGAGTCCTTGCTCAGTTCATGCAAATGAAGATCTCTGCCCTCTCTGATGCATCCCCAAATCAAATGTAATGGTCTGAAAAGACGGTCCTGGAAATCCCAGCACCTTCTCCCCCTTAGTAGTGAGATCCTTGTGCATGTCACCGAGTTTGACCCTGGACAGACTAACGGCTGTGGGCCTGTAGGTTCAGGCAGCTGGAGGGCTGACGAAAGCTCTAGCCTTCCCTGCTCACAAGGGATGGGGCTTTTCTGTCTCCTGCTCCAGGTGAGAACTCAGCAAAGCTACCCTTTGCTGAGCACCTTGCTGCCTCCCGAGAAGCTTTGGAATGCTTTCTTCCTTCAAGGTGGGACTTTGGGTTTATTTTATCCAGATGCTACTTGCCAGGGGCAAGTCAAGTATTGAGATTCCATTTTGCTTTACAACCCAGAGAAGGGATTTTCATTGCCCCAGCGTCTACCAAAGTGGCTCTCAAAGTGGGGTCCTGAGCCAGCAGCATTGACACATTTGGGACCTTGCTCGTTTTCCATATTTTCAGTTTCTATAGAGCCAGAAACCCTGGGTGGGCCGAGCCCAAGCTAGCCAGCCCTCCCAGTAACTCTGGTGCTGCCCGGTCTAGATACAGTGCTTTGCCTTTCTTGAAGACTGGCTGCAGCTCGCTCTCCTTTCTGACTAAAAACCTAGCAGATTTCCTGGATGGAGATACAGTCAACACTTATTTATTCAGTGATTCGGGGAGTTACAGCAGTCTTCATACAAGGCAAATGTGTAGGCACTGTTTCCCCCTTCTGTATAGGTTGATACAGTGTGTCAACTTGAGAAGTTTAGAAGTTTAACTGAAGCAACTCAGCAGGGGGCCGGGGTCCGCCCGTTGCAAGCAACCTCATCCTGTGCGAGAGGAGGGCGCTGAGAGGTGTGAGCGCTGCACCCGCCCAGGGCACGGCAGCCTGTTTGCAGTATAAGGGAGGAGAAGAGACTTGCTCTTTCCCCTTTTCGCTCTTGCTGCTTCCACTGTCTTCTGCCTCCTTCAAGCGCTGCCCCTGTACCACACCACCCTGCCTTGGAGCCAACCTATTACAGACTGAAACCCCCACAAACTGTGAGCTAGATTAACCTTTCCTTCCTTAATTTTGGGCATTGGGTATTTTGTCTCAGTAACAAGAGAAAAGTAACCAAGACACTTCCTTAAAGTGCCTTGATTTCATAGCTATCTGCTGTCTTTCTGTTCCCATTGGGGCAGTGCTGTCTACCTGAGTGAGAACATTAACTCTACTACTTACAGGCTGTGTGACCTGTGGTACCTTACCCAACCTCTCTGAACATTATTTCTTTGTCTATATTTAGGAGTTGTATTATATGCCTTACAACTGTGGAGGATCAATTAGATAATAATTGAGCTATTTAGAATCTGTTAAGCGTTAAGCTGGTGGTAGCGATCCATAAAAACAGTGAGCAGGGAATTTGCTCTGGATAACCCTGCTGGTGGGGTCAGACCTACAAGGAGGGCTCGCTCTCTGGGCACCCCACCTCTGGTCTAGGGGTGACTCTCATCTTCACCCCACAGGCCCAGTTTTCCTAACAAAGCAAACATTCTTTTCCCTTTTGGCACTAGGCCATCAACTGTAGGGGAAGGGAAGTCAGCTAGCCAAGCCCTCCGTTCTCCTGGCCAGGCTCCCCTCAGCGCTGTGGGCCGTGGAGCGTGAGTACTGACGGAGGTCCCTGGCTCGTGGCCTGGCCTGTGGATTCCCCAGTCCTTGGCTCCATCCTTTACTGGGAAGTGCGTTGGGGACCTGGTCTGTGGGCCCCGCCCCACTCCTCAGGTCAGCAACTTGGTGCGCTCTCTGGAGCCCAGACCCAACACACCAACAGGTGTGGGAAACGATTACAGCCCAGGGGGCCCTGGGGAGTGGGGGGCATGGCCCTTGGGCTCTGCAGACTCCTCACTTGATGTGAAGGGCTGTGGCTGAGAACGGACAGAGAGAACCGATGGAGTGCGGCCGAGAGCAGGTAGCCCCAGGTGTCCAGATCTAAAGGCCACGTCAGCTGTGGGCAGCGCCGAGGTTAGAGTCCTGAGCTCAGCATTGTGTTGGAGGAACAATGCTATGCTACACACCGTCCATCAGCAGCACCACTGCTTCAGGCGGTCATTCCAGTTTGGAAGCAGCTGTCCTGGGCTGTAGCTGTGCTGTGGACACGTTTGACTAGGGCTGGAACAACAAACTGGGGACAGTGAGTAGCTAGCTGACAAAATGGAGCCCCTGGAACTAAACCTGGCCCTCTGGTCTCATTAGCACTTGGTCCTCACCAAATGAGCTGGCCTGGGACCTCGGATTGGCAAGCCAGACTCACTTGTAAAATCTGCACCCAGCAAGGTGGCCTACAACGGGCCAGACTGTGGGACTTCCAGTCAGAAGACCTGGGTTCAAGTCCCACATCTGTCATTCTTGTGGGACCTTGGCAAGTTACCTCCCATGTCTGATGCCCAATGCAAAGAGCCACGCAGGGGATTAGTGGGCAGACTGTGCAGACCTGCTGTGAAACAGCCTCTGAAGCTTCCAGCCCTGGACAAAAGGTGGTTGTGTTTATTAATATTTCAGAGGGAAGCGTGCAGCTCTGTGTCCGGGTCCCTGGGGAAAGGACTCCTGGGATAAAGAGTGCCTGGAGAGTGAGCCAGAGGGTAGGAGAGCACAGGCCCCTAAGAGACAGGAGGGACAGAGCAAGCAATTAAGGAGCATCCCTGGGGCCGATCGGTGGACACTGCAGCCTTGTTTCCGCCCTTCCTAATGAACCACCCTGCAGACGGGCCCTTGTCTCCCACTCAAACAATGACTGTCTTGTCCACACTATCTGCTGTCCACTGACAAATCTTAGGTGGTGGTGGGGGGAGGAATCTTTTGACATAATTCACACTTCAAGGAAAGGCAGTAATGCTTCCTTACAGTCCTCAAATACAAGTGCAGTCACAGCCAGTGTGAATCAGCATCACTGTGGGCCGCAGGCATCCCGGGGTGGAGGCCACAGAGCCTGAACAAATGAGCGAGCCAGAGACGAGGCCCAGCATAGGATTAGGGACTTATTTATATAGGTCCGTAATCATATGCACTTTGTTCTTGGAGACCCTGTTTCAGAGATCTCTTTTCTAGAAATCTTATCAACTTGGGATATTGTTCAATGCAGTTAAGAGCTAATTATTTTCATGCCTGCTGGCCAGAATCCATCTTAATCTCTTATTTTTAACCAAACTTATTATCTTTATTGCCAGGGCTTAATACCTCATTATTTAAATAGCCCCAATAT